TGATAACGTGTTAAATTTTAACCTAACTATATCTGCAATAATCCACTTGCCAATGCACTATGCACAATAGCAAGAGTATTCACATCCCTGGCCTCTGGTCAGAGGAAATTCACTGCAGGCTTAACCCAACTGTATTTCCCCTTCACTTTTTTTTTTTCTTAACTGAAATGACTTTTAAAGTGGTCGAAAGGGAGATCAAATTATATCCTATCTGGGTGTTGAAGAAAAGGTTTCCACCCCTTACTGCCTCACCACACTAACCGACCATACAGACATGAAGGTCTGTGTTCCCTCTTTGGACTTAGGTAGACCTTTGTAACTGCCTTATGCGACCTCTTGAAATGGCTGAATGTCAACTATTTCTTTCTAGTACAATGATTCAGTGTAATCTTTCCATCTGCTTTTGATGCTTCCTGCATCCTTCAATATTTTGCCCATAGAATCTTTGAATATTGCGACTCAAGGCTTGAATTTTTTCTTGAGTTTAAGATATGCTAAGCATGTTTTTCCTTTTTGCTTTTCTAACTCTAGGTCTTTGCATATTTTGTTGTAATATTTTACTTTAGCTTTCTTAAACTGCCCTTTGAAATTTTCTATTTAGCTTTTTGACTTCATCATTTCTTCCATTTGCCTTAGATACCCTACAATTAAGAGCAAAGTTTCAAAGCCTCTTCAGACATCTACTTTGATCTTTTCTTTCTTTCTTGTCTTTTTCATGACCTTTTGCTTTCTTTTTTAATTATTATTATTTTATTTTATTTTTTCCTTTTGCTTTTTCTAAGTGTGATATTCTTGATATCATCCCACAGTTCACCAGGTCTTCTGTCATTAGTGTCAAATCTGTCAAATCTGTTCTTGAGATGTTCTCAAATTTCAGGTGGGGGTAGATTCAAGTTTATATTTTGGCTCTGGTGGATTTGCTTTAATACCCTTCAGCTTCAACCTGAACTTACTTATGAAAACTTGGAGGGCTGTTCCATAGTCAGCCCCTGGTGTAGTTTTACTTGTTGATACTGAACTTCTCCATGGTCTCTTCCCACAAATGCAGCCAATTTTACTTGTGAGTATTCTGTCTGAAGAAATCCACATGTATAGTCACTGTTTGTGTTCTAGAAAAAAATATATGGACTATGAACAAGTCCTTGGTTTTGCAAAATTCTAACATGCAATCTCTAGCTTCATTTCTATCACCAAGACCATATTTTCCAACGACTCTTCTTTCCCATTTCCAATTTTTACATTCCAATTGCCAATAATTATAAACGTACCTTGATTGTACGTTTGATCGATTTCAGACTGTATCACTAGCTTTAGTGGTCAATGCATAAATTTGAATACTAGTTGCATTCTTTGTATAACCTAGATTTCCTTTGATGGGGATAGATATTATGTATCACAGACAGCATTGTAATTTAAGCTGCACCTTGTAATGTCCTTTTGGATGACGAGTGCAACACCACTCCTCTTGAATCTGTCATCTCAGTAAACCATGTTATTTACTGATTCAAAATGGCCAATACCAGTCCATTTCAGCTCAGTAACCCATAGATATCGATCTTCATGCATTCCATTTCATTTTGACAACATCCGATTTTCCTAGATTCATCCTTCATACATTCCAAGTTCCTATTATTAACTGATGCTGAGTTGTGCCCCATTGGCAAATGAAGGTCCAGAAGGCTGTATTCCCAGTCTTTACTCCATACATGTCATTACGGTTGACTCTACTTTTGAGAAGTTGTAATTTTAGTGTCTTCCAACCTAAGCGACTCATCTTCTCGCACTATCTCTAAGGATGTTCAACTTCTATTCATGGAATTTTCAGTATCTGATAATGTTTTGATGCTATACATAAAGAAAAGGCAGACAGCCTATTCCTTTTTGTAGTCTGCTCTTAATCTGGAAGCTGTATTGAGGCCTGTTGCCTTTGAGTGATCCTGTTGGTATTTGAAATTCTGGTGACATAGCTTCCAGCATCACAGCAACACAAAGCCACCATAGTATGAAAAAGTGACAGATAAGTTGTGGCATGTTATCCTAGACCAGGAGAATCCCTAGGGGCTGATGGAACAATACCAATTAGAGGGTAGCACTAGATTCTACCTCTAGAGACTAACCCTATACCTTTGAATCAGTCTATGAGCTACACTGTCTAGTCTTACTCAGAAGATAACCCAAGAGGAAGGAACATCTTCTCTGCTCAGTGACAAGATGAACTTGATCAAAAACCTTCATCTTCCTAGCCTCTTTCTGAATCATGGGAATCATGTCAGAACTCCTGAAATCTCTCAGTGCATTTAGGAAACAAAACTAATTGGCATAGAATTGGGATTAATCATTCCTTCAGGAATCAGATAAAATGTCAAGTAGAAAAAGCTTAGTTATTCTCTAAGAAAGGAATGTCAAGGAACTTTAAAAAAGGTTTTGGCAGAAAACTTTACTAAATGAATATATGGAATTAATAGAGTACCGTTGCCTTTTTCATTATTGCTTAATAAAACTAAAAAAGGAAACAAAGTTTTAGAATATGTTCACCTTATCAAAAATTCCAAATTAATTTTAAACTGCAGCCCCCAGTAGTTCAAAAATGTTGATTGGCTATATTTTGGCTTCAGAATTATCTTTTCACCCTCTGGGCAAAAGTAGTTTCCTACTTTTTAGTGTAAATAAAAGGTTGGAAGAACCACAGAAGCATCTGTTTACATTCAGATAATTAATATGCTAAGCATTCGTATCTATTAAATTAAAGCAGGTCACCTAAGTATTTTTCTAGATAATACTTTATTAGTCTAATTATTATGAGTTTATATAGCCTAAGTAATAAAACGGACATCTGTTTTAAAACATTCTTCAATTTAGGACTTTTACTAAATCAAAGTTGCTTTCATACATTAGTTTCAAGTACTGAGGTCTCAAAGCAAAAACATAAGCAATGAAAACCACAAAAACCACCATTTAAGTAAAGAAAAACATTATGGCCTTACCTTTGAAGTTTTCCATTCCCAACCATCACCTATCTGCTGTGAATGTTTTATGAATTCTGCACAATAATGCTGAAATGTTTTTTCTCCAAGGAACTGGACTTCTTCCATGTTGAATGATAACTGCAATGGAAAAAATAAGCATTAGCATCAGCTGTAGAATGAGTAACGAAAAGAATTATAATTTGCTTATTACTTTAAACAAACCAAAATTTAGGGTTTAGAATGGAAAATAACTCCGGAGCCATTCCAAGAACAAATATGTTTCTGTCTTTCTCACCCCAGCCATTTTTACTATCAGGAGCAAACTTTGATCAGTATGAATAGCAGAATGTCCTAGACTTACAAGTGCACATCTATGGGTTTTATAATGATAAGTGTGATGCTGAATACATAATCAATCCTTACTGTTTCATTATATTTTAATAGGACTTGTATTTAGCTAAAAAGAAAAAAAACGTGGGGGTAGCAGGAGCCCTGGTGGTGTAGTAGTTAAGCATTCAACTGCTCACCTGAAAGTCAGCAGCTCAAACCCACCAACTGATGCACATAAGATGTGGCGATATGCTCCTATAAATATTAGTCAGAGGAGAAACCCAATGGGTGGTTCTTCTCTGTCCTACAGTCAGAATCAATGCAACAGCATGCAACAACAACGGTTTAGCAACAAGTTTCATTTGTCCATGAACTGAGTTTCAAAAGCTGGATTGTATCCTACTTGGAATGCTTCTAAATTAGCCTCCTCTGAACCTTCTTATCTACCTCCAACCTTAGCTCTTATATAGGTAGTTTGACAGTCATTAGTTGAGCTAAGTTATTCTCAACACTTCCTTATAAAGTTCATTAACAAATGAAGTTCTAAAGCCTGAAATTGTTTTTCTCCAAGGTGGAAGGTCATGATCACTGAATTAGCTACTTTCAAGCTTCAAGCAATGCTTTACAAAGGAAACCCATATACTTGTTACGTAAATCTATCTAAAACATGGAACACTATTTATTAAAAGAGAGCTTTTACAGGTGGAGAGAAACATGTAGATCATGTAACCGTTCAAGGCCCTCAATGAGAAAAGTAAGAGGAAGCAAATTCCCACATTCTCATTAGACAATTGACGGGTGTTGATTGATTACTATGTCAAGCACAATACTTCCCATTGCCATTAATACTCACAAACCCCTGGTTACTCGGTTGAAGAAGGAAGAGTAAACAATCTGTATTGCTATTGTTGTTTGGTGGCTTTGAGTCAATTTTCAACTCATAATCATCATATCTGTCAACTGAGCAAAGGGCATTGGGAGAGAGGGTAATGCTAAAAATTACTAAAAATAAGCCATACGTTGATGAAGCAAGACACCGATAAGCAATATTGTAAAGGTGTTAGGATAATGTGGTCCCACAGCACAGGAGGTGGGGTTTTTAACCATTCAAAAGATACCTTGCCCCTTGTAACCAACAAGTGATAGGCATTTAAGGATGAATATAAAATAGAGAGTTCCTTAAAGGAGTCCCAAAGTTAGGGAAGAGAAACTCACACATTTTCTGAGGCTGGGCTGGACAAGATGTGCTGCAGAGAAAGGGAGCATAGAGGTGAGAGGAGAGTGGCTGAGAAAAGTACCGTAGACTTGGAATTCCTAGTGAAAGAAATGATAGTATTCACAGATGAATAGACAGAAGTAAAGACCCAACAGAAACTAAACACCTGGAACTTGTCCTGTGAGGTGGTGTAATTGTCTCAGCACTTCTTAGCTTTCGGTAGCAGAAGGTGCTACACTAACATGCCTTCAAGATTTGTATGCTGGAGTGAGTGGGTGGAAAGATAGTATAAGAAGGAATAAAATACATATGTTAATAAGAAAAGTTCACAGTCCAACTTAAGTAGGAAAGGGGAAGATACCAACAGAAGGTTGAAAAGACTGGGAAATACGGTGGTGTCAAGGAACGTAAGGAAGATGTAAAGAGCTAAGAAGAGCAGTTGTGGAGAGGAAAATGAAAGCATTGGAAGAATGAGAGATTTCAGGTCCTGACAAGGTCGCAGCTGTGGCCACGAAGCGTTTTTTAAATGAAGCTATGATATTTGATGTTTTCCACATGGGCACTGAAGAACTATCCTGAGATTTGTTGGAGTGGAGAGATCCTCGCAGAATATATAAAACTAACTTGTTAATGACAGGGGGCAAATGGTATATGATGGAAAACACAGAGATGATAACTAATTCATGATGTCATTTACTGCTTTCATCCAGAACCATCAATCAATCCAGTCTGCCTGATGAACCAGAACTCAGCCTTGAATCCATCTTCTCAAGATGGCATGAAAGGCAGCGACTTCCAATAGACAGGAACAGTATATGAGAGAGAAAATACAAAACGACTTTGCTGTTTCTGGTGGAACTGAATTACAGACATGTCATTGGTTTCCGATGACTTGGAATCAACTCAATGACAGTAGGCTTGGTTTAGTGTTTGGACAAAGGGGCAGGGATATTTACATGAGACTGGAGAAACAGCAGGCTAAAACTGGTGCTGCGGAAGAAAAGGGCTACCAGCAATCTTCACACCCTGATCCCTGTGGGTGGAGGACGAAGTGACTTCCACTCAAAGGACTTCAGTTTGTTCATTTCTCAGGGCCACGTTTCCTTTCAAATACCATTTTTTTAAATGTAAAAACAACTCACTGTTATTAGTCGATTCTGACTTATGGTAAGTAACCTTACAGGACAGTAGAACTGCCCTTGTTGGTTTCTGAAACTGTACATCTTTACAGGAGTAGAAAGCCTCATCTTTCTCCCGCAGAGCAACTAGTAGTTCTGAACTGCTGATCTTGTGGCTAACAGCCCAACACATAGCCCACTACGCCAGCAGGGCTCCTTCAAACATCATAGCTACATGAAGAAACAACAACAAATGTTGGAGAAGCTGTGGAGAGACTGCATCCTCTTACATTGCACTGTCTGTGGGACTATAGAATGGTGTGACCACTGAGGGAAACAGAACGATACTTCCCTAAAAAGAGGGAAATAGAAATATCGTATACTCAAGCAATCCCACCACTTGGTTTATATCCAAGAGAAATAAGAGCCGCAATATCAATAAGTATTAAAAAAGGAAAGAATTAGTTGGTAGAAGCACTGTTGTGTGACTCTAGTATGTCACATGAGATTTAAGGTGAGAAATGATTCAAACTATATCCACCCCTCACTGCCAGGACAGTTTCACAATGCAGATTAGGTAAAGGGTATTCCA